TTATAAGGCAGGGAAGGGGCCATATTGGGAGGTCTAGACACCCAAGACTCCTCCCACTCTTTACCTGGCCTCCAAGGAAAGAAGAAAGAAGAAAAAGAAGAAGAAAAAAGTGTCCATTAGTTGACCTCTGAAGAGAGAAGTGGAAGAGTTTCATAGTGACTGGGGGCTGTACCTGCCCCTAGTCCTACTGCTGCCACTGCCTGAAAGGAGGACCAGAGGCCCTGGGCCTGGTGTCTCAAAGAGCAGTTGTTTGTGTGGGCCAGCGACTCACAAAGAGCTGTATCTGATTGTCCAGCACCACCTCCCAGTGCTACTGCCTCCATTGCTGTCTGATCCAATGTTCAGTGCTGTCCATCCCAACCTGTGGTGTCACTGAGTGGCCCAGCCTGTCAGCACCTCCAGATGCAGTGAGTTGGATCCTGGCCTGCTGCTTGCTGGCTGCCTCAAGTTCCAGGCCTTGTTAGCAGGATGGTGCTATCTTGAAAGAGTGACCTTTTGTTTGGGAATTCTGGACACTGTGGACACTATCTGGGATAAGACAGATAGTTACCTGTGGCCTTAGAAACTCTCTGTTTCCCTTGTTTATTAAATATATCCCACTGTTTTTCCCTGAGCTGAGGGGTCTTACAGTTGTGCATGTGGATGAGAAGCCACAGTGACCTGTCCTCTACTGGCCACTGTCCTTGGATGGCTAGAGCCCTGTTTCATTATCACAAGAAATTGTCTACTCCCACAACCCCTCAGGGTTGGAACTGACAGCCTGGAGAAGGGTGACATAACCTGCTCCTCCTATCTCCTGGTGCTTAGCAGAAACCAACTGCTACTACGTTAGGCCTAAAAAAGTATCCACCATAGATAGAAAAGGTGTTCCAAAGAATCTTTGTGGAATGAAAGAATAAGCTGATGATCTGATTCAGCCTCAAAATTATATTCTGCAATAATAGCAAGAATCACATGCTCCTTAATGCAGAGGAGAAAACTGAGGCTGTGAGAAGTTTTGTGACTTATGTCGAGGTCTTAAAACTAAACTGGCACCATCATCCTTGCATGCAAAAGAAACAAAGGGGTGACACACCAAATGCTCTGCCCAGTTTTTAACACCTCATTATAATTTCCTTTGTTAGCTGAGCTTTATTTGTCTGATAAAGACCTGAGGAAATGAGTCATCAGAAGGGTAAGGTCATCAGGGCAATCAAACAAGGCACAACTCACAAGCATTCACAGCAGTGGTCCCATAAAATTTAGCTCTCAATAATGTTCCAGTTACTATGGATCAAAACAAAATTACCCCAAAATTTAGAGTATAAAACAACCATTTATTATGCTTCTAGAGACCATGGGTCAGGAATTAGGACAAGACACAGGAGGGGTGATTTGACTCTATTCCATGACTCCAGGGGCCTCAGCCTTAAAGCCTCAAAGGCCAGGCGCTGGAATTATCTGAAGACTTTCACTCACATGTCTGGTGATTCAGACTAGCAATAGGTGAGGGGACCTCGGCTCTCTGTGTGGACCCCTCCATGTGGTCTCTCCATATAGACTCCATCACTACTATACTGTGATGGTCAGCTTCCTGGGCAGGCACCCCAAGAAAGACCCAGGCAGAATCTGTACCCTTTCTAAGACAAGACTCAGATGTCACATGGCATTACATTACATCTGTATCTATGTATACATATCATGTATGTAGATATATCTGTATTAGCTATTGTCTCATAACAAATTACTCCCAAACTTTATGGTTTAAAACCACAAACATTTATGATCTCATATAGTGTCTTAGGGCCAGAAATCTGTGAGCTGAGTTGTTTTGGCTCAGGGCTTCTCTGAGGTGGCAGTCCAGCAATTGTCTGGGCTACAGACATCTGGAGGCTCAATGGGGCTGGAGGTTCTGTCTCCAACTCACAGGAGCGTTGGCAAGAGGTCTTGTTTCTTAACATGTTGGCCTCTCCAAGGGCTGCTCTGACATGGCAGCTGGCTTCCCCAGAGCAAGTGATCCAAGAGAGGAAGAGAGTATGAGCAAGATGGAAGGTGCAGTGCCTTTTTAAACCTAATCTCAGAAGTGAATCAACATCACTTTCCTTGTGCCATTGGTCACTCAGACTGAGGCATTATAGGAAGTAAGCACAGAGGGTATGAAAGCAAGAGGTAGGGACCTCACTGGAAAATAGAATCTGCCACATAAATATAGTTATATATACCTATCTTCCCTCCCCTCATCTTTTAAAAATATGATCTATATTTTGTTCTTCTCTCTCCTCATGTCCCCACTTCTGGCATACAGTAGGCATTTGATAAATACTTTCTAAGTGGATGTTATGCAAGACTTTACTAGTGCTTATCTGAGCCAGTATTCCTCCATTCCTGCACACCAGGGTGGGTAGGCCTGGTGACTGCTTGGGGACAATTAATGAAAATGGAAAAGACCCATGTCACTGCTGAGCTGAGGAAATGGAAAGCACAGTTGTGATCCACTAGTCTCTCTTTTTCTTGGATGGCATCTCCAGAAGTGTAGAAGCCAAAAGTTCCAGTAGGTACAGCTATAAGTATGAATAGGTTCTGCCAACTTTGGCCCCAGACCTAAGTGTCTATGTGGAAAGAGACTGTCTCCTGTGTGACACATGCAGTAGGCATGTGGAAAGTCTCTGAGCTCTTTGAGAATTGTTGCTGCATCCCACCCTAGCCTGTCCCGATTACAAATATATCATCTCTTTGATCAATCCTGCTACACCAAGTTGTAGATGGAGAAGCTAGAGCTCAAATAAGCCACAAGACTTGCCAGAGATCATGCAGTAAGTAAATAATGGAGTTGAGGGTTGAATTGAGCCTTCTGGCTACTAGTTTGGGAGGTAGCATGGTGATTAAGTTCATGAAGGTTTGAGTCAATGACCTTGAACTGACACCCAATGAGTCAATCACTAAACTTCTCTAAGCTTCAATGATGTCAGTTTGTAGGTACATGATTGCTACTTTCTTCAAGAGGTTGGTGTGAGGATTAAATAAAGATCTAAATCAGAAGTCCCTGATAAACTATATTCTTCAGCATCATTATCATCATCTTCCTTAAACCAGAGCTTCAGAGCAGCTAACTCTTCATGGTTCAACCTTTTCCCTTTCTCTGACTCAGCTCTTTTTCAAGGCATTTTCCAATCAATTTCAAAGTCCCAAGATTATCTGTTCCTCTGGTTTCTGTTGGTGAAGATGTCAAGGTGATTTTTTTTCCTTATGAAACAACACATTTTCTCTAACTTTCTGTTTTTAGCTTTTCTCTGTGCAACATACTTCTTTGGCACTTATCATTAGCAGCTATCACGGGGGCAGGAAGTACCACTGTTGACTCAAGTTAGTAGGTACAAAACAAAGTGGGTTCTCACTTTGCCAGCATTCAAGAACTTACTGCAAGATGAGATTTGTGTGTGTGTGTGTGTGTGGTTTTTTGTTTTGTTTTGTTTTAGCAAGAGTTTTAAAATTATTTATTTATTCTATTTTTATCTTTTATTTATTTATTTTTAACTGAGGTGTTATTTAGGTATCTCTAGCAGGTGTTATCACCATAGTGCACCCACCGCCAACTCACCCACAGTTTACCACCACAGATCACTGTGCTTCCTTCCCTCTTTGTTCTTTCCCCTTCCCCCTTGGTGTTCAGTGCTGTAGGTAGCTATCAAGGGTTCACTTTTCAGCTTGTCATTATGCAATATAAGATTTTTTAGGAAAACCAAGCTTAGTCTTCAAAGTCATGCATACACCTAAACTGGGGAGAAGAGGCATTTCCAAGGCTCTTCTTGAGTCCTGGTAAAAAATCAGCCATTCCTCAGTATGGGTTAATTAAACAAATGATGATGCGTTACATAATAAAATACTATGCAGTCACCAAAAAGAATGAAATAGGAATATAAGGTTCCTGACTTAGAGTGATGCTGATAATAAGGTTTCAACTGAGGAAAAAGCAAGTTCCGGAACAGGACGTAGAGAATAATCCTGATTATTTAAAAGACTGTATTTTAATTTGGGTACATGTGTAATGTGTTATACATGTAGACACACATACACACACTCACACACATACACACATACCTGTATATGAAAAAAATGTAAGACTTACTCAAAATTGCTAACTGATAGTTTCTTCTGTGGGATAGAGGGGTAGCAAGGTTGTAGGGTAAAGAAAATGTCAGGCTTTTCTGCCCTTCTGCCATCAGGATAGATGATGGATCCTTGTCCTGAATGCATGCCTGATGGCGGGCACCTGGATTAGGGTGTGGGCATAGGTAGATGGGATTCAGCTGAGCTAAGACTGGGCGTCTTAGGGCGGCGTCATGGGGACGCCAGCAGCAGCAGCAGAAGCTGAGAAAGAAGCCAATGAGAGAAGCAAAGAAGCAGAAGCAGAGAACGCCAGAGAGCCCAGATAGAGTGAAGACTTGCAGGCAGGCAGGCCTCCCGGCCCCCAGCACCCCTGCCTGCCATATGTCTGGTAAACCCCAATAAAAAACCTGCAAAAAACCGCTGAGGACTCTGACTCCTCCTTCACCCGGTCTGCATGGGATCAGAAAACCTGCACCATGTCCATTCCTGCCTTTACAAAGGTCTTCTAAATTTTAATCTGTACATCTATATTGTTTGAGTTCATTTTAATGAACACACAATATTTGCCATTCAAAAAGCATGTATAAACAAAATCTCCCTGTTCCCCAAAGGAGAAGAATGTTGACAACAAGAATGGTGACTACATAGTTTTTTATTATGTAACTGCATTCAAGCCCTGAGTCAAATATGCTTTAAGTGCTTCATTTAATTGCTTCATTTAATCTGCAGGTACCGCTATAAGGTACGTGTGGCTGTCCGTATATTATAGATGAGGACAGTAAGGCTCAGTGTCAGGGTTCACAGTCACACGGTTGAGTGTGCAGCAAAACACATGAGTGAACAAGATAAGCATTTTCCAAAAAGCATTCTGTCTGCACTCAGTAAACACCGTGCTGCAATTTCTGCAAATTTACCTGCCTATCAAACTCAGGCTTCAGAGATTCTTCCGTGAAGATGTGAAATTGAATCTTCCTGTGGCTAAAGAGCACAGCTGATTTCAGCATGACTAGCGTCTCCTCCAGTCGATCACCACAGGCTACCACAGCCAGGTGGATCCAGAGTTCGGGCGGCAGCACAGCTTGGAAATGTCTGGGTTCTCCAGGTCTCCTAGAAAGAAGAAAAACAAGTTAAGGCTATTACTAAACTCATGGAAAAAAAAAAAAGCTAGTGAATGGCTGGAACATTTGAAAACACGAAGAGACACAATCTGTTATATTTTATAAAGTGATAAGCATTTTGACAATTCTTCCTGCTTAGAGAAAAATACCATTTATTCCCATATTTATCCTGGCAATCGCAGGATGAGTCACTATTTGGATGGCTATAGGTGTCTGCGATTTTCTCTGCCAGCGCTCAGCTGTCTTGTGCCTGCTGGCTGCCTACTGGCCCATGTTTGGAAATAGTATTGCTAAACTTTGACAGCTGACACAGGGCTATATGCAGCTTCACTTGCATGGGCCATGGAAATTAGATTTGAATGCAACTTGAACAAGAGGAGGGTGGGTCGTGGCTTTCCCATGTGAAATGAGCAACATGATATTCCCATCATCTGGATGGTTTTAGGTTGCGGTGGAATGCATGACCACTGGACCAAAGGAAAATCATACAAGTCCAGGAGGTAAGCAAAGAAAACAACACATGGGCCTCCTTTACAGCTTGGGAGAGCCTTGAAAAAACTGGTGTTAATCCTAACTGCCTTGCTCAAGATTGTTGAGGTGGTAGGTATGAAATTCGGTCTTTGGTGTGAAACTCCCATTAATGAGAAATAGGCAGGAGAAAGGGCAGGTTAAGTTGAAAATCACCAAAGTATTAAATACCGAGTCAACAGCTGAGAAGGGAACAGGATCCAAGAGTCCAGAATCATCATCCAGCTATTTCCTCATAATAAAAGATTTGTTCCAGACAAGGAGATGGAGCCAAGCCTCAAACACACCACTGAGAAACATTTTCAGGGAAGTTGGAAGAAGCTGGCCTGGAAAAGGTACCCCGAGACAAATGAAACTAATTTACTTGCACAAAAGATTTGGAGACCAGGGAACTTGGACGTAGAATGCTCCCTTCCTTCCAAAAACTTCAGCTTCAATCAGTGCACTGCTCCACTGTTCCCTGCTCTGTTGAATAATGGCAGTCTTGCTCCAGATTTCTTTCACCAGAAAAGTTGAAGATGTGGGTGGAGCACTTTGGGTAGTTTGCCAATGTGATTACTTAAGAGCATGCTTAGTAGAAGCATGGCCTCCTGGCTCAGCTATGCCCAGATGTGAAGAGTTACTCAAATCCCACTTATTTTGGGGATCACAGGAAAAGACAATAGAGTTGTTCTAAGTATCTCCTGAAATTGTCCACTTCTCTTCTTCTTATCTGATGAAGCCACCATCTTTCTTCAACTCAATCACTGTCACAGCGTCCCAGATGGCCCAGCTGTCTCCAATCTGATCCTTAATCCCGATTTCTTTTTATTGGTGCCAATGATGTTCTTCTAAAATGCAAAGTGGATATTGTTTTCTACTGTCCTCATGATCAAGTACAAGCTGCTAATCATAGCTCTTATACCTCTTGCGATTGTCCCTAGCATCCCCAGCCTGGTTGACAACCATTCATAATGGTATCACAATGACAGTCATATTCTTAGTCTCATTTAGTCATGAGACAAAGCTGGGTTGCCTCCAAGTTTTCCTGGGACATGTATTCTGTCTGTCTGTCTGTCTCTGTCTCTCTTCCCTCTCACACGCACACGTACGCACACATCTTTTTCGTGTTAACTCAGTACCTACATGTCAGGCACTGTTTTCATTGCTGGGAAGACCTTAGTGAACGAAACAGATCTGGATGCCTGCCTTTGTAGAAGTTACATTTGGCTGGTGGTAGGGAAGACAGAAAGAAATAACAGTCAAAGCAAACTGTAACTAAGTCACTTACTTAGAAAGTTATGCAGTGACAGGTGCTATGAAGGAAATATACAGTTGAGCAAGGAGGGTGTAGGGGCAGGAATGACCACTGAGCAGGTTTTCATTGATCCCATGCAGACCGGGTAAAGGAGGAATCAGAGTTCTCAGTGGCTTTTTGCAGGCTTTTATTGGGATTTAGCAGGTACATGGCAGCAGGGGTGCTGGGGGGCCGGTAGGCTGGCAGGCTACCCAGCCCCCAGCAGGTCTTCACTCTGGGCTCTCCAGCCTTCTTTCGGCTTCTCCTCGGCTTCTACTGGTGTCCCCGTGATGCCGCCCTTAAAAGCACAGTCTCAGCCCAGGTGAATCCCATCTACGTATGCCCACACCTTACTCCAGGTGCCCGCCATCAGGCATGCATTCAGGACGGCAAGGATCCATCATCTATCCTGATGGCGGGAGGGCAGAAAAGCCTGACATTTTCCCTTACCCTACAGAGGGGAAACATACGTAGCTGATGGGCGCAGCTAGTGGGCCAACATACATCATGTAGTGCAGAGTAGGGAAAGGCCTTACTGAGTGTAGGGTAAGGAAAAATATCAGGCTTTTCTGCCCTCCCGTCATCAGAATAGATCAGGGGAACCCTATGATCATGAATGCATGCCTGATGGCAGGCACCTGGAGTGGGTACACCTGGGCTAAGACTGTGCTTTTAAGGGCGGCATCACGGGGACACCAGGAGAAGCTGAAGCAGAAGCCGAAAGAGAAGCCAAGAAGCAGCAGAAGCCGAAAGAAGCAGCCGAGAGAGAAGCAGTGAAGGCCGGAGAGCCCACATAGAGTGAGGATTTGCTGGGGGCTGGGAGGACTGCCAGCCTCCTGGCCCTCCAGCACCCTTGCCTGCTGTGTACCGTGTAAATCCCAATAAAAGACCTGCAAAAACCACTGAGGACTCTGACTCCTCCTTTACCCGGTCTGCATGGGATCAGAAAACCTGCTCTGTGTCCTGTCCTGCCTCTACACTGAGAAATGGGGAGATCTGACTTGAAGAGGGTCATGCCCACATCTGAGTGGGGAGCCCACTAGGCAGAGTAAATGAGAAGGCATGCCCAGTGAATTCAAGGAGCCTTGCCTTTGGAACTCAGCTGTCATCTCTTCCTCAGCTTCCTGAGTGGATTTTCATATCTGCTACTAAAGCCACCTCCCACATAACTTATATGAAGGGTAGGAAGACACAGTACCCACACCCTACCCTATCTGTGTTCTGTTTTCTGCAGTTTCAGTTACTTGGGGTCAACTGTTGTCCAAAAATATGAGAGAATGAGGGACAGAGACAACATTCATAGACCTTTTATTACAGTGCATCATTATAATAATGGCTATATTTTATTGTTGTAAATATCTTCCTAACTAATTAATAAATTAAACTATCTTAGTTCGGAGTGTACAGGAAAAAACACAGTACCTATAGGGTTTGGTACTGAGATTTCAGGTATGCACTGGGATCCCTGGAACTTATGCCCCACAAAATGGGGGATACTGTAATGCTAAAATCACAGCCAACAAAAAAGATTTCCATCAAAACATTATCCAAAATATGCTGAGATTAATGCAAACATATTTGCTTTAAATTATGCTCAATATTTAAAAACAGTATGATCCAAAGATACAAACTAAACAACTGCATTAGCTCAGATATCTAAAATGTGAACCATTACCCTGCAGCAAAGAGAATGACTCCTGCAGTATATAAGTTCAGTCGTACATACCAGGGTTCTACATGAATAAAAAATTTTAACTTTAGGGCCTCCCCGGTGGCGCAGCGGTTGAGCGCTGGGTTGCGAAGCTGCCCGCAGCCTCAGCGGCACCGGTTCAATCCCCGGCTGCTCCCCGGCCACCGGAGGAGGGTCCCACATGGTGCGCAGACCTCTCCTGCCACCCGCTGCTCCCCTCAGCAGTGTACTTCGGTCCTTCTGCCTGCTCTGCTCCCCGCTCTGGCTCTGGTGAATTCTCTCACCCTCCCGCGCTTCTGACTGTACCCAGTGCATGTATAAACAAAGCAAGCAAACAAACAAATAAATAAATAAATAACATGCCTCTATTAAAAAAAAAAAAAAGTTTAAAAAAAAAAAAAGAATAATTTGACACTAACATTTAAAAAAAAAAAAATTTTAACTTTAATAATCATGGAAAAACTAAGTCAAATGATTAGAAGACTCCATTTTATTCTCATATTGGTAAAAATTAAGGAAAAATAAGAGCTGGTTCATAGAAGCTTCAATATGGATGGGAAGATGGAGGCCAGTGGCAACAATGCTAGGGGCAGGGGAGGCAGCCCATTTGGCAACATCTAGCAGTAATGAAAATACACATACAACCCACACTCTTCCAGTTCTACTCCTAGATATGTAACCTGGAGAAAGCCTTGCACTTCTGCATAAACCCCAACCAAGAATGTTCAGACAGCCCTATCGACAAGAGTTAATTATTGGGAAAAATTTTGCTGCCTGTGCACAGGAAAATCATGAATATATTTGTTATCTTTAAGTGAAATACCACATAGCAGTGAAAAATGAACCAGAATGTGCTTATCTTTATAAGGCCTAAGGGGTGGGGGAAGAAATTTTCAGAAAGAAAGCCAAAAAAGAAATTAAAATGATATCCTTTATGTGAAGCTTAAAGAAAGGAAAAAACAGCACAACATGTGCTTCACAGATATATGTAATAAGAGCAAACTTTCATGAGAATAGTAAATATCAAATGCTGGATAGTGACCATTAATGTGGGATTAAATTTTTATTTCTTGGGCCTCCCTGGTGGTGCAAGGGGTTAGGATGCAACCTATGAAGCTGTCCGCAGCCACTGAAGCACAAGTTCAGTCCCCCTCCAGGGAGCTACCCACGTGGTATGGCAGACCTCTCCTGTCTCGCCTGCTTCTCCCCTCAGCAGTGTATTTCTGTCAATCTGCCTGTTCTGTTCCCCACTCTCTCTGGTGAATCCTCTCACTCCCCCCATCTCTGCCCCTTACCCCAGTTCTTGTATGCATAAATAAATAAATCTTTAAAACAATAAAGTTTTACTTCTTAAAGTGAGTACAGGGTACACAGAAATTCATTGTTATTATTTGAAAAATACTTTTTTTTTTTTTTTTAAATTAAAAAGGTCTGCACTCTGCAACTCAGCAGGCAAACTCTTTTGCAGGCTTCAGTACTTTGGGACAGCATGCAG